CGGGGAGCAGGGTGTGGTGTCTCGGGCCTCCCCCGTCTCAGCAGCAGGCGCCCCCTGTCTCCCTGGTCGCCCTCTGGGACATCCCTGCTCCGCTGCAGACGCAGGCCCACAGGAGCAGGACCCCGTTCCATGCCAGGTGCCGGGACAGCACGGGCAGGAGGGTCTGCGTCCCTCAGGGCACCAGGAGCCGGGTGCCTTTTCCCACAGGGGGAGGCGGGTGCCAGTCACTGCCGGTTCGCCCCTCCACTGGCAGCTGGGCCTCGAGCAGGCGCCCCTCTGCCGAGCCGGCGTTGCTACGAGCTCCCTCTCTCTGCCTGTCACCATGAGTGACGGGGCGGGGGTAGGTGGGGGGGCGTGGGCACAGGCTGTGGCCATAGTGTTCCAGCAGCTGAAACCTGTGCGGACACTCTCACAGGACCTGCGCCCCCACCACACCCACGCCGCCGGCTGCCGTCTGTCCGTCCGTGGCTCCCCTCTGCGCACACAGTGGCCTGAGAAGAAATATGCCCCGCGATGCCGTGGGGTCGCTGCTCCCATTAGTTTCACTTGGGTTTCATCTTATGCTGCCTTCGGGGAGCCGGGCCCTGAGTGGGCGCACCTGCCCGCGGCGTCCCTGAGCAAGGGAGGACTTCCCAGGGCCACTCGGGGGCAGCCGAGCGCTGGGCGATCAGCTACGCCTTGATCGTTGCGTGTTGATTACGCTCATAACCCTGCGTTTCTCCTCGTTTCCATAATGGCTTCAGGGACCTCCGTCTCGCCAAGGCCCGTCGCCGGGTGTGTCGCGGGCCCCACCGCGTGGCCACATGTGCACGAGGCCGTGTGGGCCGCAGCGTGACTCGCCTGTATGAGTGGGCTTCTCCGCACACACATCCGCAGGTCCCATTAAACTCCAACAGGAACGGCACACGAGTGCCCGCGAGTGTTGACATCACTGCCGCGTAGGAACATAAACCAGTGTTAGCAGAGGACAGCATGCGGTGTCTGGTTCTTATTTATGTTCTTGTAAGCATGTTTTTATTGAGTTCAGAGGGGAAGGGAGAGGGAGAGAGAGAAACATCAACGATGAGAATCAATGACCGGCTGCCTCCTGCACACCCCACACTGGGGATCGAGCCGGCAACCAGGCACGTGCCCTGTCCGGGAATCGAACCCTGACCTGGTTCCTAGTTCGACGCTCAGCCAATGAGCCACGCCAGCCGGCCTGATTTTTAGATTATAGTTTGGGGGGGGGGGTTAATATCATGAAGAGAAAGCCTTTTATATTTGAGATTTGTGGATGTTTTAAGTAACGATTTCCTAACTGGATAGTTACGGGGGTATTTAAAACAGGCAACACTCTCCTGCCCAGCTTACGTCAGTCTGTGTGCGAGCTGAGCGTGGCCGCTGCAGGAATGGGCCGGGGGCCTCGCTGCGATCAGACGTAGAGACGGGCCGGGGGCCGGGGACCCGGCAGCTGGGTGCCTGCTTCCGCTCACGGCCGGTGCCTGCTCCCCACCCCACCCTGAGATTGGGCTGGGGGGTGTGTCTTTGGCGATTTTGCCGTGTGCTGTGTGTGTTCGTGTGTTTGCTGGGTCCCAGGGCTGTTTGAAGGCGGCCGTTAGGAATTATCAAATCTGTTCTGAGTGCGTTTCCATTGCAGCCGCATTGCTGACCTCGGAGAGTGTGGCATTCCCGTGGTGAGACGTGGCTTCTCGCGCCACACGGAATCGGGGCAACCCTGAAGAACGGGCGTGCCACCCACCGAGCTGCTGTGGGGGGCGCGCCGTTCCCTCCGCTCAATAGGGCCAGGCCCCGCGGGGTCTGTGTCTCTTGGTGGGAAGTTTCCATCAAAGAGCAAAACTGGGCACCGCACGGGCCCCGAGAACTGAGGGGGCTTTACAGGCACAGATTTGCCGATTCTTTTACTAGTTCATGGAACGTGCAGAACCTGAACACGGGCTCAGGGCCGCGAGCACAGAGCATGTGTCGATGACACGGCTCAGGTCCTGGGAGCGCGTAACCTGGCCTTCCCTCTGCAGATGGTGTGGGAGAGCGGCTGTGTGGTCCTCGTCATGCTGACCCCGCTGGCGGAGAACGGCGTCCGGCAGTGCTACCACTACTGGCCCGACGAGGGCTCCAACCTCTACCACATCTACGAGGTACCGGCCACCATCCCCCTGAAGTGCACCTGCAGCCAGGTCCCCACAGGGGCCAGCCCCTGGGCCCGGTGTCCCCTGGGCCCCGTGGTCAGTGACACTCAGGCCTCCAACAGGCTGCGCCCTGGGACTCGGACTGGGACTCAGATTGGGGCTGGGGATGGGGCTGGGGAT